TGGAGGAGGGGGGTGTTGGGTGGGGGGTGATGGAGGAGGGGGGTGTTGGGGGGCCGGGGGTGCTGGGGGGCCGTGCTGACCCCCCCTCCCCACAGTGGTTCCCGCTGCAGGAGGGGGGTCAGGGCCGGCTCCGCCTGCGCCTGGAGTGGCTCTCCCTCCTGTCCGACGCCTCCCAGCTGGACCAGGTGAGGGGGCTCAGCCCACGGACGAGTTTGCTGGGGCTCAGCTGTCCTGGGGGAGGGGAAACAGGGTGATCCTGCCCCGCTTGACCCCCCCTTTGGCACATCCCCCCAGGTTCTGGAGAGGAACAGGACGATCGTGGCCAAACCCGACCCCCCCTCTGCCGCCATCCTGGTCGTGTACCTGGACCGGGCCGAGGAGCTGCCTGTGAGTGGGGGTCTGGGGGGGGCAGGGCTGCCAGAACCCTGTCCGGGGGGGGTCAGAGGTGTGGGGCCCCCCCCAATCCCCTGTTTGTGCACAGATGAAGAAGCCCGGGAAGGAGCCCAACCCCGTGGTGCAGATCTCGGTGCAGGACGTCACACGGGAGAGCAAGGTGGGAGGGGGGTCCCACCCCCGGGGGGGCTGGAGGGGTTTGGGGGGCGGTGGGATCTGACCTGTGCCCCACAGGTGGTCTGTAACACCTCAGCCCCCGTCTGGGAAGACGCTTTCCGCTTCTTCCTGCACGACCCCAGGAACCAGGACGTGGATATCCAGGTGAGACCCTCAACCCCCGAGATCCCCCTGGCCCTGCATCCCCCCACATCCCCCGAGAGCTCCCCAGTTCTCCAGCCTCTTGTCCCCTCATATCCTCCCAAGTCCCTGTTCCTTTTTCCCCCCCAAATCCTCCGCCTCCACTTCCCCTCTTTTCCTCCCTTTTACCCCCTTTCCACCTCCTATTTCCCCCTCCTTTTCCCTTCCTTCCCCCCTTTCCCCCTCCTTTTTTCTCCCCCTTTCCCCCCACCTCTTCCCTCCCACTTCCTCCCATTTCCCCCCGTTCCCTGCGCCCCCAGTGACCCCCCTGTCCCTGCAGGTGAAGGACGACCCCCGGCAGACCCCGCTGGGGTCCCTGTCCGTGCCCCTCTCCCGCCTGCTCCAGGCTCCGGAGCTGACTCTGGACGAGCCGTTCCCGCTCCAGCGCTCGGGGCCCGGGAGCCGCCTGTTCATGAAGCTGGTCCTGCGGGTGAGGGGGTCTGGGGGGGCCGAGGGTGGGGCCCTGCCCCTGCCCCCCACCCCCCCGCTGACCCCCAGACCCGCAGGTGCTTTTCCTCGACGCCCCCGAGAGCGGAGTGTCCCCCCCTGTCCCCCCGGGGCAGCTGCAGCCCCCGGCCAGCACCGAGAGCCCCCCCCCGGCCCAGCCAGGCCAGCCCGGACCCCCGGTTTGGCACCGAGGTGGGGAGGGGAGGGGGGGTCTGGGGGATTCACCAGGGAGGCGGGAGGGGACGGGGAGGGCAGGATGGACAACAGGGGCTGGGGGGTGCTGGGGAAAGGATGGGGGTCCTGGGGGGCAGGATGGGGCTCCTGGGGGGCAGGATGTGGCTCAGGGCCCAGGGGTGGTCCAGGAGACAGGTTGAGGGGTCCCGGGGGGCAGTGTGGAGGGGTCCTGGGCAGGAAGCAGGGTCGGGACTGGGGGGTCCGGGGGGGCCAGAGGTGCTGGCAGCCCCTGCCAGTGGCCGGTGGTCCCGTGTCCAGCACGTGCTGCGGATCCACCTCCTGGAAGCCGAGAACCTCATCGCCAAAGACAACTTCTTCAAGGGGGTGGTCCGGGGCCGCTCCGACCCCTACGCCAAGGTCCGGGTGGCCGGGAGGGTCTTCCGGAGCCGAGTGATCAAGGAGGACCTGAACCCCCGTTGGAACGAGGTCTATGAGGTACCGGGTTCCCATCGTCACCCCCGTGGGCGGGGGGGGCCCGGGGGGGAAACTGAGGCCTGGGGGGCTCAGGGTGGGACCCAGGTGACCCCTGTCCCTGCCCAGGTGATCGTGGACAACATCCCAGGGCAGGACGTGGAGTTCGACCTCTTTGACAAGGACGTGGACAAGGATGATTTCCTGGGCCGGTGGGTGCGGGGGGTGTGGGGGGTGCTTGGGGGGGGTCAGGGGGCTGTGGGGGACCCCCAAAACCTCACTGTGTGTCCCCCACCCAGGTGTAAAGTGCCACTGAGGCGGGTCCTGAGCAGCCGCATCGTGGATGAGGTGGGAGAGGGGCCTGGGGGGCTGTGCTGGGGTTGGGGGGGTCACCAAAGGGGGTTCACTGAGGGGGGCTCTCCCTGTCCCACCAGTGGCTGCCCCTGGAGGAGGTGAAGTCGGGGCGGCTGCACGTGAAGCTGGAGAACCTGGACCCCCGGCCCAGCACCGCCCTCCTGGAGCAGGTAATGACCCCTCCAGCTCCTGAGGGTGTGGGGGGCACCGTGGACCCCAACCTTTGTCCCCATGGACCCCAACCTTTGTCCCCATGGACCCCGATCCCCAACCCCCTGTGTCCCCGTCCCCACTGACATCTCCCCCTCTGCTCCCCCATCCCCATCCTCCTCCCCATCCATCCCCATTCCCGATCTCCTGGGGGTCCTCACGCCACAGTGGGACCCCCAGCCCACCCCCCCTGTGCCCCCCAGGTCCTGCACACCAACAGCCTCCTGCAGCCCGCCCGGGGCGAGGAGCTCTCGGCCGCTCTCCTCTCTGTCTTCGTGGACCGAGCCGCTGACCTGCCGGTGAGTGGGTGCCCCCCCCTCGGCCTGGGCCCCCCAGGATGCCCCCAAATGTCCACAGTGCCCCCATCACCCCATCCTGCCCCCCCAGCTCCGGAAGGGCTCCAAAGCCCCCTCTGCCTTCGCCAGCCTGGCCGTGGGCAACGTCTCCTTCAAGACCAAGGTAGGATGCAGTGGGGGGGGCTGGGGGGTGTTTTTGGGGGGGCTCAGGGGGGTCTCTCACCCCTTCTCGTCCCCCCAGACCTGCACCCCGTCCACAGAGCCCACGTGGGACGAAGGCTTCTCCTTCCTCATCAAGCGGCCGCACGAGGAGTCGCTGCAGCTGCAGGTCTCTGCCCCCCCCAGGGTGGGGGTCCCATCCCTGCAGCCCCCCGGGGGTCCCGCGGGGGGGTCCTGAGCTACCTGTGCCCGCAGGTGAAGGAGGAGGGGGGGCAGCCCCTTGGCACCCTCAGCCTGCCCCTGCCCCAGCTCCTGGCCTCGGAGGGGCTGGCTCTGGACGGATGGTTCCCGCTGGCCGGGGGGGGCCCCGGCACCCAGATCCTGCTGCGGGCACAGCTGGGGGTGAGTGGGGTCCCGGGTGGGGGGGGGGTGAGGTGAGACCCCCCTGACCGCCCCTCTCGCCCCCCAGGTCCTGGTGTCGCAGCAGGTGGAGGCGGCGGCCGGGGGGTCCCTGGAGGGGGGGGACACGGACCCCCAGCCCGCAGAGGAGCGCGGGGAGGAGGAGGAGGAGGAGGAGTGTGGGACGGGGGGGCTGCGCCAGCGCCTGCCCCCCAAGGACAGGTGGGAACGGGGGGCACGAGACCCCCCCGAGCATTCAGCCCCCAGCCCCACATTCCATGAGGGGGGTCTTTGGGGGTGCTGACCCTCCGCCCCCGCAGCCCCCTGGAGCCAGCGGAGGGTCCCCGGGTCCAGCTCACGCTCTGGTACCACCGGGACGAGAGGAAGCTGGTGGCCATCGTCCACGCCTGCAGGTGAGGCTGGGGAGGGGGGGCTCGGGGCTGGGACCCCCGGGCTGGGACCCCCCTCTGAGCCCTGGCCCCCCCCAGGGAGCTGCGGGCGGCGGCGAAGGAGCTGCCGGACCCCTACGTGTCCCTGGTGCTGCTCCCCGACCGCAGCCGCGGCACCAAGAGGAAAACCAGCGTGCAGAGGAGGACCCTGAACCCCGACTTCAACGAGAGGTGAGGGGGTTGGAGGGGTCCCTGTGCTGCCCAGTATGGCCCAGTACAGCCCAGTACACCCCAGTGTCCCCAGGTTCGAGTGGGACCTGTCCCTGGAGGAAGTGTCGCGGCGGAGGCTGGAAGCTCATGTCAAATCCACCCTGTCCTTCATGACACGGGAGAAGGAGGCGCTGGGGAAGGTAGGGGGGGTCCGGGGGCATCCAGGGGGGGATTTGAGGTGGGTCTGGGGGGTCCAGGGCCCAGGGAACCCCCTGAGCCTTTGCTCTCCCCCAGCTCCATCTGAACCTGGCGCAGGTGGACCTGTCCGAGGGGGGATCCCACTGGTGAGTGGGGCTGAGGGGCTGTGCCAGAACGGGGGGAGGGCTCGGGGGGGTCTCTGGGGTGGGGAGGACTGTGTCCCCCCCATGCCCCCTCACCTCTCCCCCTGCACAGGTACGAGCTGCAGGATGAGCGGAGCGGCCCCTAGAGAGGGACCCCCGGCCCCAACCAGCCCCCCGTGGGGAGGGACCCTCCGGCTGCCGCCGCCCCCCGCCCCCGCCAAGCCCCCGCCTCGCCACCGACCAAAGACGGGCCGGGCCCCCCCCCGCGCCCCCCGACTGTTACGAACCTCGTGCCTTTGCCCCCCCC